GGAAGAAACCAAATTCAGCAGATATTTCAGATGATATTTCAGATGTTTCTTCAAAAGCAATAATTCATTGCAGGCTTAAAATCATAGGAATATACTCTCCTCCCATCACTTCGGCCAGTTTGGCACTTAGGTGGAAGCCACCTTTCTGAGAGATTGTAAACAGCATCATGTAACAGTCACGGTAAGTCTACCACCTGTACGTTTCTTTTAAGTGCCAGCAGTTTTCCAGTTATAATTAACTTTCAACCAGCAACCTGCAACCTGCATCCCACAAAATATACCTGCTGTTTTGTAGTGGGGATTTGCTAGCCATCATCAGGTGGTATTCTATCTGGGGCCTTGCTGGACACAGTGGAGGCCCCGAGATACTGCGGGCACCCACCTTCCATTGAAGTGTGGCAGCTTCAAGTAGTTTATCAATGATGTGGAGATATCATTGTAATGTAGCTCATGATCATATGTAATATGAGTTGTACATGTAATCTGACATCTAAATCTGTTCAATTTTGTGATGGAAACCTGAGTAATAATTCTCTTTCTGAATATTAAAATTTTATCAACCTGTGTTATAGGCCCTAGGACCAGTACTTGAAGGGAAAAACACAGTAATCAATGCTGAAACAGGGAGTGGCAAAACACTTTGTAAGTGGACATTAGTAAGAATATGTTTTCTTACGGTGATGTTGTGTAAAATTAATATCTTTGACTTGTACAACTCATGTTGAAATCTCATATCTGATCATGTACATGTGTAGTGAATTAAAGACGAAGGCTACTCTACGATCTTGTGAGATTAAACATAACATGGACAGCCAGTGAACTGATATACCTTTACTTGTACATATTTAGACTTAACACTGAACAGCCTGGAAAAGTGCCAGTATACTTCTTAAATTGTAGATCTTTAGGCAGGAGAGTATAATATTTTTAATTTCAGAAATCTATAAAACTTTTATCTACAAAGTCATGTATACATATATCAAGGAAAAGCCTGATTTAAACTCTTTTTAAAAGATGCTCTAACAAAAGCCTGATATGACTGCTTGTCATGTTTTTTGTGAGAGTTGACGATGTTATTTCTTAATTAGTTGCCTATTTTATTTAGTACTCTTGGTTTCCTCTGGCAAGTTTTAATGATACTTCTTTTTGTTCAGTACCTGTAAATGGTCAGACCACATGTACAGAGTTCCCATTAATGCACAGGTGTGCATGTTATATGCACAAAAAATGAAAAGGATGCACAGTTTTTTGGTAAAGTGCGTGCTAGGGGCACAGGAAAAAAAGTTCTGACTGGTTAGGAAACTGGGCCTGGAGGGTCCTACTCAAAAATCTCTGCGATCATCATGGTATGTACTTTGAGCTGCCATTTCAATTGTCAGTTGTCGGGTCATCTCTACGCAAAAGAGTTTATTTGATATTGTTAAGCCTTCAACATTGAGGAAACCTGACAAATGGAAACCTGAAAGTGATACAGATCTGGGGGATGATGCCCAGGTGAAGAAACACAAATTTTGTCCGAAATGGCTGGAGGAGTTTCAATGGTTAAAATATGAATCGACCAAAAAACAAGTGAAGTGCAAAGTTTGTCTCAGTGCATACTGTATGGCTGTAAACCTACATAAATCATCCTTCCTTTGCCTATAACTAAAAGTTAATACATTTTTAATAAATGTTTTTTTCATAAAATGTAATAAATTTTAGTAAGAAAAAAGAACCCCAACTATCTGGAACTGGGGCTCCCAAGGACCCTTAACTATCAAAACTAGTGGGTACTCTGAATGTAGTTACTGGTAATCATCAAGCTTTTAAGTACATGTAAAAAGTACAGGATTTAACCACCAATATTACGATTTGAAAAGCTGACATTTCACATGAAAGATGTAGCCCTTATCAGAGTAAAATATGCTGCTATTTCACTTCTGAAAGAAAGTAGTAAATCGCAATATTCAAGATTTGCTGCTTGCTGATTCAAGGTTAGTCTGTTGCATGTTCTTTCACTCTTGAATAAGACTAATTGAGGAAGCTACTGTACTTCATTTGTTAATTTGGATGTTACAGTGTATCACACTGTGTTTGCTGTTCTCTGCATAACCTATTTGCTTAAATACCTTATAATTATTAATAATTATAGGTTATTTGCTTCCCATTGTCAATAAACTTCTTGTGGACAAGGAGGTACTTTCAAAGCCACCATATGCGCTTGTTCTTCTGCCCAGTATTGAACTGTGCCATCAGGTGAGTTCTAAACTGACAAAATTCACAGTAATTGCTTGAAGGTTTATTAGTTGCTCAGCCCAAAGGGATGCACCACAAACATTTGCTTGGTTTCTTGAATTCTTTAAAGTTTTTTTTCAAAGCATCTTAGCTGCTGAAACAAAGAAAAATTATTGCAAACACTTTTGTTAACTGAAAACAAAAGTTGAATTTGGGATTCATTGGCAGTTTACCATTACAGTRGAACCCYGCCTTTTGGTCACCTGGTTAATACTAGGGTCACCTTCAAGTTGTTATTATGGCCACTCTTTTTGTCCCACAGAGGCACTCGTACATTATCTTAAAGAACACCCAGTTAACGTGACCACCCCACTAAGATGGTCGACAGCCACATTCTAAAATCGAAACCTGTATAATCATTTTACAATTTCGCCCTGTTAATATGTCCACTTGAACCAGTTATGTTCATCTTTTCAATGTTAATATTTTATGGACTATATTATTGAAGTTTCAATTTTTTTAAAAGATTAAATCTGCATTCCAGATGCTTATTAAAGAACAATGGTTTAGAAGTGTAATTGTGTATATCTGCTAAGATGTCACTCAATTGAGATCAGTCATGAAATTTGATCTTACCCTGTTAATATGGCCACCCTGTTAATACAGCCACTCCATTAATATGGTCAAATTTTCATGGCCCTTTTGGTGATTGTATAAACAGGGTTCCACTGTAGTATTTATCATCAAGTCTCCGATTGGCACACTTGCATTTCAGCTCTCATGGTTTTGAGAGGCTCAAACACTTTTAAATCATTTATTGTTCATGATAATCATAATTTTATGATTTTCTTTTTCATATAAAGGTTAAGTACATGTAGCAGTGCAATAGATGTACAAGAGCTTATAGACTGTAGGTAAAAGAGATTCTATTGCTTATATGTGTAAGAAAATTGATTATTTTTCTTCATTTATTTATTCAGGTTGCCAATGTGTTTCAAAGTTTAACTGATGATACAATGCATCCATGCATTGTTCATAGAGATTCCAGGCTGCAAATTAATCCCAAGTACCCCATCGTACTGGCCACGCCCATTACCCTATTCACTTACAGTCTCAAAACTCTTAACAATGTACAAGTGGTGGTTACTGATGAGGCAGATCTTGTGATAGCCAGTGGAGGAGATGACATCTGGGAAATTCTCAGCTTTTTTAAGGGTGTTGATAGCCTAAAGAAGCAAAGGAAACAACAAAAGCATTCAGCGAGGCAGAAAGCTTTACAAGGAAGAAGTGATGCTACAGAACGGGGAAGTGATTCTATTGTGCCCAGGTCAAATGAAATTAGAACAAAAGGTTTGAACCATAGTGGTAAAAATGTGAGTATTCAGGCGGATGTTTTACCTTCACAAAGGCAGTTTGTGTTTGTGGCTGCAACTCTGCCTTCACGTGGTAAAAAAGCAGTTTACAATGTGCTGAGGAGATGGTTACCAGAAGCAGAATTCGTGTCCACTGAACTGGTACATCATACTGTGCCGACTGTGGATATCTTTTATGTCAAAGTACAAGAAGCTCTTAAACTGCCTGAGCTTCTTCGTTGCTTGAATTCTTTTGTTGGAATTATTAAATATCCACTGACTGGCATGGGAAAGAAAAGTAGTGATGAAGTGATGGTTGGAAATGAGGGAAATGTTGGTGCTAGTGCAAATGGGTCTTCAGATCAAGACGGGAATGCAGAAATGTTTTTCGCCAAAGAGAAACGTGACATCTCGGCTACAGAGAAAGGACACTTTGTGGATGGAACACGTGAAGGTAAAAAAGAAACTTTTCTGGAACCGGTAGGTTTAATAAATCTCCGAGTGTTAGTATTTGTGAACACACCAAAAGCAGCCGAGCGAGCTTTTAACTTTCTCAGTGATACCACAGAGGAAGGAGAGGGTGACTCTATCCCTTGGGAACATGTTAGTCAGCATGACAAAATTATAACTACATGGCAAACTGTTCAGGATGAATTTGATGAAGATGGCACAGCTGCACATGAACACGTTGTGACTCATACTGGCTTCAAGGATATGTGGTTAGGGAGAGTTGGACGGATTCATGGCGATATCCCGCCTTCTGAAAGAATTGAAACTTTAAGAAAATTCACCTCGGGAGAATGGCGGGTCTTGATTTGCACTGATCTGGCCTCGAGAGGGCTAGATATCCCGGATGTAAGTCACGTGATTCAGTTGGACTTTGCCTCCAATGCAGCGCAAGTGCTGCATCGCACAGGACGGACAGCAAGGGCAGGCGCCTCAGGGAAAGGTAGGGAACTGAGATTCAAATTGCATTTGCCGTGTCTCCGCTTACAATGTATATAAAAGTGAGAATTATATGGTGCTGCGAAACAACGTAAATAGTTAGATATAAGAGTTTGTATGCGAAGATAACGAACGTATTACCTGCTCTCTCAGTAGAAATACCGAGAAGCACACAATAAAGACGCCTTCCCTTGCATGCCTTCAGTATTGCTTGTGTTTACATGAATATCGATAGACCTTAAACACTGCTAATTCACGAGGGAAGCAGGTCAAGGCGTTGTCATCGAGTTTCTCTCATCATTATTCCATTGTTGCGCCCTTTTACCATATTACACCTGTAAGTCAAGAGAACACGCAAAATGTGAGCCCGTGTTGAAATGTAAACTAGAGTCGTATTTGTTTCTGTAACGCGCCTTGTGCTTTTAAAAACTACTCGTAGAAGCAGAAATACTTGAAAATGACTTAATGATATCATAATAAATCCCTTATTCGATGGTTTAACATAGAACACGAATGGACGTTTTGCTCATTGCTCGTTTCACTATGCAGCTCGCAAAATATCCGCTCGTATTATATGTTAAACCGTCAAATAAGGTTTATATATGTTTTATTATATGGCTGTGTCTTACAAAGACTGGGAACTACCGAATTCACGAATTTGATGGGCTGAAATCGATATTGACCGCGGTCTACATTTTCCCATCTAGACCGTCATCTAGACCGGTTTCATTTTTCGTTGAAAAAGTCGTAAACTAAAATACAAAAATGTTCACCATTTCCTTTTATTTTCTGCTCAATCATTTATGGAAGTGCCAAAAAGCCTGATGACAAAAAAAAAAGTAAAGGGGACGAGCAAATTTCGGCAGGTTTAGGTTAAACTCATCTCCGTTTGCAAGCAAAATGTCAGCAAACCGGTTACATTAAACAATTAAAGTTTTCTTCTTTGCCATATAATAAACATCTTATTAACCGAGCTACGTCGGTCTGTATGGGAGAATCTTGACCTCGGTCGTGTGTACAGACCTCACTGCGTTCGGTCTGTACTCACGAACTCGGTCAAGATTCTCCCATACAGCCTGGACCTCCTGCTCGGTTAATAAGAGGTAAATACTAGGTGGAACTTATCTTTGTGTCAAAGCGTGGCGTGACGACTCATGTAACGGTTGCGAAGGAGACTAGTACAAGTCCGTTTAAGTGTGGGCGAGGCCTTATATTTATGCTTTTGTACTGTCATACATGTACATGTATATTGACGCTTGCGCAATGAGGTTTAAGAGACCTGTGCGTTAAAAGAACACAACCCAAAGGCGGCAAGAAATATAGTCAGAAACGTTGGTAGGGAAAACCTTTCTACTTTGTGTTTTTATCTTGTATAATACAAGATATGTTATATAGGTGGAACAAATTCTGAATGAGACACAAAGAAGAAATTAATTTTTAATGCCGTCACTTACTTACCCTTCTTTAAACCCGGACACACGGCGCGACATTACATACAGTAGTGCTCGCAATGGAATGGCTATGTTAAATCGTGCGTCCAAACCTGAAAGTGCTGTGCGTAATTTTCCACTCAATATTGCAGAAGAATCCCGCTCTGCTTTTGTCATGTTGCGAGCAACAATTTCAGGGCTGGACACACGAGTGAATAATGTCCGGACCTTTCGTGTCCCTCGGTAAGTTTCAATTATATTGTAGTTAATTTTTTTCTATGCTCTAAAACACATTAGATCCAATTATTTTGCCAATCCTCAAGTGTCGTTCGTAATCTGAGTTAGATGTGTGTTTTATCCCATTGTAGTAATAAATTTTGTTACAAAAGATGACGAAGATCTGGCGAGAGCTGTCCGAGCTTGTGAAGAATCTCCGAACAGTGATGGCTATCAAGCCACTTTCAGCCGAAACCGAATGTTCAGGAAACGTGTGAAAAATAACACTATTCCTTTAGCTGACAAGCTGTAATGGGCTTGTTCCTGACAAGGGCTAGGGAAGATCTGGTGGTCAGTCCTTGTCAACTCACTTGTGACCCTTGTGTGCATGCGGCTGGCAAGATGATCTCCCAACAGCTCATGTTGTCTAGAGGAATATGTTATTTTGTAGTTGGGGTCAAGTTTCCTCTGAATGTGTCCAAGAGGTGGCTGCTATTGTTAAGCAAATGTTGTGCTGTAATACCTAATTGAATGTAAACTTGACTTTTCTTGTGAAATATCGGGACACAATCACGGGGATTCTTCTTCACGTTTTGTCAATACGGTGTTAAATTTGGGACAAAGTACCTGTCATACACGAAATGCTGCTAGAACACCAGGGATAAAGATCTTGTCAGTGAATTCTTGAAGGGACCGTTATTTGAGGTTTCATTTGATGTAAATGTGATGGGTTTTAACGTTTGGAAGTCATGTTCATATGACAGTGTCCCTATTACTACTAATGAATGCCCTGTTTTATTAATTAATGGTTCTTGCTCAGGTTGGGCTGCTTCCTTTAATCAGCAGGCGTACTATGTACACTGTATCTGCCAAGGTGGGTGGGAACCTCTATGAGATATTTTGAAATCACGCAATTTTGCAACAATGAGGAGGACCATCAGAGTGCTCGATATGAAAATCTTCATCAAGAGAGTACAAGCTCGTAACGTATTGATGGCTAAACTGCAAATAATTTCCACCGGAGCTGAGCACTCGGCTCCGTTGAAGGTAAAATACCATCGTCTGCAGCAGTCATGGCAGTTATAGATGCGAAGGTTGCGAAGATTAAAATAGATTGGAAAAGATTATCATGGGCACGAGGATTTGTTCTCTCAGGATCATAATCTCTGGTATTAATATTATTATTGTTGTTATTAATATCATATGAATTGTGGGGTTTTCAGCAGATTTCTTTGTATTAGAGATAAAGCGTTTTGGAATTTGAGATTTAGAATTTTATCCTCGTATCTTCAGAATTTAAGCCTGTGGGGGTGGTACTTCTTCCACATAAATCCGGGACACCGAGTTCCAACCCGTCTCCGCGTCAGCAGATCCGTAACCAGCACAATTACCGACCCAGAATCCCACGCGGACAGTGCCCATGGCGATATTCTCACACACTCCTTCAATATGGCGAGGGCGGTGCAAGTTCTTTGGATCTGAACGTCATGAACAGAATTTTTTCAAACATTGCCAAAAGTTGCACCGTATTCCACTATAATCAAAATTCGTGTCATTAAAAATGGGTTTCACCATGTCGTTCTTGAAATAGAGGTACTGATCGTGAAAAATAAGATTAAGGGTGTGTTTAGCGGGTCATACTGCTGCTATGGTAGCCTGTTGTGTCACGAAAATGACAACAGCGTGCTCACCAATGATTGGCCAATTTTCAATACCATGACTGTAACATCAACTGATAAAGAATGGCTATAACGACCCGTCAAAAGTCTTGGAAAGTGTTGGAAACTGTTTTGAGCCACCCTAAGAGAAGAATTCAAAATTCGTCAGTGAACGTCTCACTGGTTTCTAGTTTTGTATGTAAAGATCTCGGCATGGAGACTTCCTTTGGCTGACTTTTTCGTTTTATGCTTGCGGGGTGCCTGTTCGATTATATATTGGCGTTATGAGCAGAAATGGAATTCTGATCACGTCTCCTAAACTATGGATTTGGACCATTACTGACATCACTGGCACACAAAAGCAATAGACCTTTCTAGCTTGGGCGGTTTGTTGTCCCATTTCAGACCATGTGATGAAACTCTTGAGAATTCTTTTTTTCGGATTTTCAAATAGTCGCGTGTATATGAGTGAATGATTTTTACATGGATATTCTCTAGAGGATATCACGTGGTCTATAATGGGAAAACAATACCTTCCTGTGTTGCTTCTCTTTTTTCCATTTTTTCCCGGTCAAAACGAATTTTTTAGAGAAGTATAAATCAGACGGGTTTAACCGGTAGGAGGTGCACATTTTCTACAATAATCCGCCACCGATCGCATTCAATATTTTGTCATTGGCCTGATTCAGATGTAAATTTTATCCTAGACGGTCGAAGCCGGAACCGACATATCTGAGCAGCGAGTGAAAAGTAACGCCCTTTTTTAGCTGAGAAGCTTAAATGTACTCGCTGTTGCTGAGATGATCTCCTTACAGGGGTTGTTGTGTAAAGGTACTGTACCTGGCTCTGATAGTCAACTTGTGACAGAAGGGGTCAAGTTTTCCCTGAATGTGTTCAAGAGGTGGTTGCCTTTTGACGAGCACAAACTTTTACCTAATTGACTTTTCTTGTGAAATACAGCGGTACAATCAAGGGGACCTGCGAAAGTACCAGCTCATAACGTATTGCTGGCTGAACTGTAAATAATTTCCACCGCATGGCCTGATATCGAAATATTTCTTGTCTCAGTTTTATGTTATATCAACACGCCTACAATGGGTTTATTTCCATGCCAAGTCATTTATTTATGGTTACTTTGACATCATTATCAGCAGGATCTTGCCAAAAGCGGCTAAAGCCCAAACTGAGATCCCTACTATCTTCTTACAATAACTCTTAAGAACTTATTTTATTTTGCCCAGTTTCATAGTGTCTCTACCTAGTCTACTCCAAAACCGAACTTGGAATTTTATTGTCGTCTCTCAGCGGAATTTAAGCCTGCGGGGGTGGTACTTCTTCCACATAGATCCGGGACACTGAGTTCCAACCCGTGTACGCGTCAGCAGATCCGTAACCAGCACAATTACCGACCCAGAATCCCACGCGGACAGTGCCCTTGGCGATGTTCTCACACACTCCTTCAATATGGTGAGGGCGGAGCAAGTTCTTTTTGGCGCCATCCCCATGTACCATATAGACCACGCCATCAATCGCATCCGGAACTGAGCACTCGGCTCCGTTGAAGGTAAAATACCATCGTCTGCAGCAGTCATGGCAGTTATAGATGCGAAGGTTGCCATTCCAGTACACGCGCAGACCAGTTTTGTCTGACTTTTTATTGAAAAGACATTCCTATAAAGAAAATGATAGGAAGTTTTTATAGACGATGTTAAAGACGTCACCATTTAACTTGAACTATAAAAACTTGCGGTTAAAATAACTATGGAAATGTACTGTTTACCTTGAGCAGTCCAGTGTCCATGTCGTCGTTGATATTTTTCCAAACGCACTGTTTCCAGTTACTTGTCGGCGTCCCTGGAGGTCCCTGGGGTCCTGGAGGGCCTTGGCTTCCTGGTTTGCCATCATAGCCTCGCTCCCCACGCGGTCCTATGGGTCCTTGCGGGCCGAGCGATCCCGCGACCCCAGCTGGTCCCGCGGGACCAGCGCTCCCAGGGATACCTGGGATTCCTGGCGCGGCACAACAGCAACTTTTACCGCAAGTCTGTTCAATTCCCTAAATGTAGATGATAATAGGCGCATTTGTTAACTCTGAAAATTTCTATTTTTTCATTTGTTTTTCAAAATTTATTATCGTCCTTGACTACCCTCAGACTGCCAGAGTGAAATTTCGATTTGCAGAAATTTACTGAGGAGAGTCTCCCTTTTCTTTAAATGTATTTGTGATCAAAAACTATTTTCGGTTTGGTTGAATGCGTAAAATGCACAAAAAATTCGGGATACACCATTTAAATCAGATGCGAGTATTGTGGCAGAAACAATATTTTGAGGGTTTTTTCATAAATCAGTATTTCACGAATCGTCTGTATTAGTCGTCGGTATTAATCGTCGTGCATATTCTTCACATAAATGCATACTCATGAGTATTCCATCCCACGCGTTCCTTAAAAAGCAGTTATGCAAGCTAGACGTAATTGGTTTGGTTTTAGTTTTGCGACACTCATTTGAAAGCCACTCTATTAATGCCGCCGCACACAAGCCGATGTTTTGTCGGCCGACAAAAAATCTTTTCTTTTCGGCTAGTGTGCGATGAATTCAGACCAGGATTCAGACAAGTCTGCGACAAGATCGGGGCTTGTCGGGCGCCATCTTGATTTTGGATGACTCGGCTCCAGGCCTCAACGCCGTTAGTTGTGACAAAGAAATCTACTAGTGTGCGGCAAGCTGATGGCCCGACAAATTTTAACCCGATTTGACCCCGACAAAAAAATCTGCAGTTCCACAACAAAAAATCGGCAAGTGTGCGACAGCCTTAAGTTATTAAATGTAAAGAACTCATTTTGTCTTGACTTGCACCTGGACTTGATTTTTTTCCTGCTGTGGTGCAGAAAGTGATCAGCGGTAAAAAGAGTAAACACAACATGGTGGGGAACATTTTCATACGTGACTGCGCCATCGTTGTCACTTGATCTGCGAGTAAAAATAAATAGGGAATATACAAGTGTGTGGGTGGGTGTGTGCGGAAGTATGAAACGTTTCTTTGGATGATTTTAAACTCGATATCTTTTTATGTTATACAAATAACACTGAATGAGAAGATTTTGGTGATCCTTGAAAATTGTTTGAAGATGGTCTGTAGGCCAATAGAACGTATCCGAAAATAAATTCCGAAACTTTCCCAAGATATCCGGAAACTGCCGAAGATTTAAGAGAGACATTCCCAAAGTTACGACTAGCAATGTTCAGTTTATGGAGGCGCGGTGGCCTCATGGCCAGTGCGCTCTTCCCCGGATCGAGCGGTGCGGGTTTCAGCTCTGGCCGGGGACATTGTGTTGTGTTCTTGGGTAAGACGCTTAACTCTCACAGTGCCTCTCTCCACCCAGGAGTATAAATGAGTACCAGCGAATTGTTGGGGAAACCTAACAAATTGCGAGGAAATGACCTGCAATGGACTAGCATCCCATCCAGGGAAGAGTAGAAATACACCTAGCCGCTTCATGCTACAGAAACCGGGATAAGCTCCGGCAGTTACGAGCCAGTCGGGTCCAAGGCTTCACTTTTTTTCGGAGGCCAATCGAACGTTTCCGATCATTTTCCGAAACTTTTCGAAGATATCCGGAAACTGTCGAAGATTTAAGAGAGACATTCCAAAATGTTACGTCTAGCAATGTTCAGTGTGTTCAATGCCTAAGAAGTTGGCAAATCGTTACTTCATCGTAAAAGGTAGTAAAACTGTCAGTGGAAAGAACATCTACCCTACACTGAGTTTGTGTGATAAGATCAACCATGGCTCACATCAGGTGATGTCCGACTTATGACCTCGGTCCTTTATTTTGGTTTCGGCTTGCAGTGTAGAACAAGGACAATTGTGAGATTCGTTTCTTCTGAATGTTACTGTAGCTACGGTCGCTACAAAAAAAGTTGAGCAATCCGACAGCAAGTTTCCACATGATAGCGGTATGCTACAGTACACAAAAAAAAGGCCCGAAATGACCTGAATTAAACAACTACGTACTGCTCTATTCTTCATCTTAACGACTGGCCGTACTCTTGAAAGTGGTTTCCATACTGTCGCAACGATCGCTACGGTTGTCGAAGTAAAACTCTTTTCTTAAATACTTCTATATGCTACATATGTTTTCCTACTTGTAATATTTATCTCATGCAGGGCCCAACTGAAAACCGCATTATTGTGAAGTGGGCTCCCTGCTGGAATATCTTTGTTATTAAACTGAGGTCTGTCTCAGCGATAGCAGAACCGAGGTCTACTGAGATCCTGATCCCGACTGCTGAAGAGCTGTTTTCATATGATTGTAACGATCACTGAACTTTTCCTCAGCTATTGGCGTCACATGGAAACCAGCCTTATGTGGTTGCTGTGCGGTTTTAGCTCTGTTGCGTTTTGTTTTGTTCCACTCGCTCGACTGTAGTTTTGAAAAGGTTTTTTATGTGTTCAAACATTTACATTGTACCACACAAAGTAATCCGACAGCCGGAGAATTGAGGTTAGCCATTATGTAGAAATAGTATTTTCAATCTATCATTAACTAATAAGAGCAAAAGAAAGTCATTGCATTTAAGTTCATCGATTAAGAACCTACCTTGCTGCTGCGGTTGTTGAAGAAAATTGTCACAATTTGAAGTAAGTTTTAGCTTTATATGGCATGTCGCACTAGAGCGAATTTTTTATATCGGGACTTACCAATTTTTGGGGGTTCGTTTTCCGGTCGCACATGAAGCCACACGACAAGGCTAAATTCTTGTGTAAACACTGATAAAACGCTTTTGTAAACAATGATGCTTTCCCTTGAAGCCATACTGTCCATCATTTTTCTTAAATAGACACGCAGTTGACATGTTTAATGAATTTTTGTTTTCTTTGGGCGATTTTGGAAAAATCTGCCTGCCCCACCCATACACTACGGCGTCTTTGATCTTCTTGGTCCACTGACAAATTTTTCCAAATTTTGTTCGTAGGGGTCGCATTAGGAAAAGCTCCAATTTTGACCCAATTTTTGGTAAAACAAACAGAATTTGCTCTAGTGCGACCCATGCCTTTAATTCTAAAAAGTCGAAATCTTCATATGTATATATTTGGTGCTTCCTTAAACTATACCTTATTTTACAGCACTCTATGAATAGGTTAATAACAAATGCATTAAAGACCGCATAATCATTGTAGAAAAAGGTTCCAAAACTTCCAGGGGTACGTGATGAACTATATGTATTGGGGAGGTTCACAACTTTTTGTTTTCAATGTGATCTTGACAAGATCATTTCGGCGCAAACATTTCATCGAAATCAGACAGATTTAAACCTGAACCAAACAGTGTCGTCAGAAGCTCCTAAGTGCTCTCTCATGGCGAAAGGATTAAGACACTGTTTGGGATATTTGCAAAGGGTCCTCGCTAATTTCTCCTAAACTGGCTTTGTCTAAAGAGCGAGTAGAGCAAGAAGAACACACGAACGTGACTCGGGATTTTACTGCTCGCCGATTAGCCAGATTCTATAAGCTTGGTTCAGTAGATTTCAAGTCCTCGTGGTTACCGGTTTGATTTTGTTTTGTCTATTATCAAGGAAACGTGTGATCAAGAGTTCAGGAGAACATGTGCTCGTTTGCTCAAGATCTGGACTGCTCAAATGTTCAAAAAAATGACTGCGGGAGAGAACTTCAAGATCAGCAAAGATATGATATAAATGGCGCTCAATAACAAACATAAGAAGATCCCGCCAGAAAAGTGTTGAACTATTTTCGTGTCGCACTCGTCCTGCAAACAACTGCAAACAGAGAATAATGAAGAAACAGATGTTTTCATTCGCCTTTCACAAAGTAAATCTTGTCCCATGCTTCCTTTTCATTATCTCATTTTACCAAAGAACCCCGAAGAACGCCAAGCATTAATTTAAAAAAAAAAAAACGTTAAGAATAGATCAAATAAATGACTCCACAACGCACTATTAATAAATTGCCTCGCAGCGGTACGAAAATCAATGGAATTATTATGGCCTTTACATGCTAGCAACTTCTCAGAACGCGCATTAAAATAATTTTACGTTAGTTAGTACAAGAAAATAGTATTCGATCTTTCCACTCAAAGGTCTATTTTAGGTACACCTTCTGCCCCTCCCCAGGGCGGTCTCTGGACTATGATGTTTTGAAGCCCTTGTTCTCCGACACAGTCTGTCCTGCATATAGCACGCAGGGGACCAATTAGAGTGCTCCTAATCTCTGTAGAGCAGTCTGACAAATAAGGATAGTCTTTGCTCATTTGCTATTCAAAATGATACTGGTTTATCTACCTGATGACAGTCAATAAAGACAGAAAAGGATTCAAGCCAATTGCCATGGATAAAACAACAGCTGCTCACTGCTTGAACTATTTCCAAGACACTTTTATATGACAGTAAATTTCTTAAGCCATCATCTTACCGTCGAGATGAAGAAAACCGTAGTAACGTCTTGTGTTCTGCTGTTGTTGATTTCGTCGCTGTTGTTAGTCGACAGCGGTATTTTGGCAAAGCATAAACGTCGTGGATCATCTAAAAAGGTAATTGTGGGACCAGTATTTTGTTGATCTTGTTGACTAGGCCATTTTGTTCCCGTTAAAGATTAAGATGCGGCATTTTGCCCTCATTTTTATCGCAACCCAGCTAAACAAAGTTTATCTAGATAACAGGAGACTGAGTTCTTAATTTCTATTACATGTTACTTGCCCCTCTTCAGATTTGAGAAGAATACCGTTATGTTAACTAAAGGTTAATATCGATTTGATATTTAACACTCAAACGTCTTCAATTTATAGAGGTTTTATCGGGATGGAGAATTTGAGGCCCTTTCAGAATTTGTCACGAATAACAGCGGGGAACGAGTAAGTCTTACCAAACCACAATGTCGTCCTTATTGTGCTTTTCAGTTAAAAATTTCCCAACAACGAGACGCTTGGAGAGTAACAATACGCCTTCGGCGTTTTCTTTCCTCTATAGGACAAAATGTCTTCAGTCATTTGGAAATAATAACGTCGCTTTGATATCCTGTTAAGAATATTTCCAAATGGTCTGTCGCGATAATTTCCCCAAATTTGGCTTTGTTAAGAGCATATAAGTAACAAGTGAAATGACTAAAGTCACAGAAAAAAAGTTCTCTTAACTAGAAAACTTAAGAATCCAATATTTGAAGAGAAGTTATGTAGAGCTTAGTGTAATCGATTTCAAAGACTGAGTGTTATGTCGGTGATTGTTCTGTTCCTTATCTAGGAGCTTAGCGACCAGGAATTCAGAAGAAACATTTGTTTGTCTGCCCGTGAGCTGGACTGCGAAAGAGAACTTCAAGATCAATTAAGATCTGTTTCAACGGATGCCCAAATAACGAAAAAGCGGAAACCTCACCAGTAAATCATTCTGATGTATTCTCTTCTCGTTATTGTTATTAAACGAGCTGCAAATAAGGAATAAAGAATAGACAAAACAACTGACAGGTGTTTACCTCGTGCTTGTTTTCAATCAAATCAGGGACTCTTACGAGCAAGGAGTGGGAAGAACATTTGAAAGGAGCCAGGCGGAAGAAATTAAGAAAGCATAATCCTCGAATTGCCTCTGAAGTGAATATGAATTCTGATTTTTTTTTTCTTTTTTAGTAGACACTATATGATTGCAGTCCAAATCCTTGGACCCTAAACTAATTATCAAGAGTCAGTAAAGGGTTATGGTAACACCGAATAGGCAACATCGAGAGAACCATTCAGATATGTGTATTTGCAATAGACCGGGCTGAGAGCGCTTTTCTCTCGACCAAAGATTCCGGTTTGAATTTTCGGAACTTTCCAGTGGCGAGTGACAAAGAATTTCCCGGAATTTCTGGAAAAGAGGACAACCTTGCAAAGCAGACCCACATTTTCGAAAATTTCTTACCAGAAATTTCTGTTATACTGTTTTTTTTTGTTTGTTTGTTTTTTGTTTTTTTTCAGGAATTTGCGAAATCTTCTGTCGAGTCATGACATTTCGAAAATTGAACAATTTTTGAATTTTCCAGAATATTTTCAAGGTAATTGCCATACTATTTCCCCTTGGTTCGATTGTTCCGCAGTTTTTTGGTGGAATGGAAGGCTCTTTCAATGTCGATTAAATCTTGATTTATCATGAAAAAGTTTTCTCCGTTTTTTTAAATGTAAGACAAGTTTTAGTATTCTAAATGTGATGACATGCCTAATTAACAAAAAAACGGCGGGCATGGTAATAGGTTGGCCATCAAAGCACATGCGACAACCACAATTTCTAAGTTCTAATCAGTTAGTTATATTAGGACCTTTTTTGTGGAAACAAAACAATATTTCCAAATAAAAGGCATTGGTCATAAGCTCACGAGAAAAACAATAAATCAGACAAAAAGAGTTTTAAAGACATCGTCACAAACATTTGAATAGACAAACTTAACGAAAAAAAATTCATTTAAATAATATCTCTGAGAAGGAGGCTTGGATCAATGCCACACGATCAGATGCACTGAGCTCCCCTAAAGAACAAAAACGATGCAACAACACAACTAGTAAAAGATGATTAACTTCCAAAAAAGCAGTTAAGCTGTTCTTGATAACTTTCGTTATGCCCACTCCGCTGCTCGGCTTCCTGTCACCCCAACTTAACGCGCCTGCGTACCCATGGCAAATTACATCTTCACTTGGTATCATGTGCTTTCACCGTCTTAAAGAAAGACCTGCTCGATCGGTGATATACTCAATCCATGGCTACGGGCATCCTGACGANATTTTTCCCATCTTGCTTTTTGGTAGCTGCAAGCGAGATAAACGGAAGTGTCGTGACAGCGTGACATAAGTTGACAGCTAGGATCTAGGCTCGATTTCCACCGCTTTCTCGAGTCCAGTCTACGTTCCTCCTTTCACGAACAGCGGCTGGTAATTGAGCCTAGCTAGGATCACGAGATTCGTTAACATTGTAATCGGAGAAACAAGTGGTTGTGAAATAGGTTTTTATCGAGAGAACACAGAAAATAGGACGCGTTGTAACACTGGAAGAGAATTAAACAAGGATTTGTCGAGTACAAGTGAGTTGCGAGCGTGCGAGTTAAGGTGTACCCCACAAGTTTGGTACAGAGGAAACTTCTGCTTAATCTTTAATTAGTTTGCAAGGAGTTGTGATTTTTTCAGCCCAGTAAATTGTACTGACTTTCACTGGGGCGAGCGAATATGATATATCGGGAAGCACCGCCACGAACGATGCATAATTTATTATTATTATCTTTTTGGCTCCCAGTTGTCGGTTGTTTTGTCCCTTGGGAAACCAGGCCCTTAATTGTTTTTATTTTTAATAGCTCCCCCGTAACATCGAGGGACTGAACGACTGCTTATTTCGCGCAATATAAAAGTTTGGGGGCATGGGTCGCACTAGAGCGAATTTTTTTTTTTGGTCGGTCCGAAAGATCCAAAAATATCGGCACTGACCAATTTTTTGGGGGTTCGTTTTCCGGTCCCACATGAATCCACACGACAAGGCTAAATATTTGTGTACACACTTATAAAACGCCTTTGTGAACCATGAAAAGCGTATCTGTGCTTCAATTTCCTTAAACAAACACGCAGTTGACATTTTTAATGAATTCTTGTTTTCTTTGGGCGATTTGGTAAAATCTGCCTTCCCCACCCATACACTTCGGCGTCTTTGATGTTTTTGGGCCACCGACAATTTTTTCCAAAATTTGCTTGTAGGGGTCGTAGTAGGAAAAGCTCCAATTTTGATCCAATTTTTGGCAAAACAAACAATGTTCGCTCTAGTGCGCACTAGAGCGAATCTTTTTTTTGGTCGGTCCGAAAGATCCTAGAACTATCGGCACTGGCTAATTTTTTGGGGGTTCGTTTTCCGGTCGCACATGAAGCCACACGACAAGGCTAAATTCTTGTGTAAACACTGATAAAACGCTTTTGTAAACAATGATGCTTTCCCTTGAAGCCATACTGTCCATCATTTTTCTTAAATAGACACGCAGTTGACATGTTTAATGAATTTTTGTTTTCTTTGGGCGATTTTGGAAAAATCTGCCTGCCCCACCCATACACTACGGCGTCTTTGATCTTTTTGGTCCACTGACCAATTTTTCCAAATTTTGTTCGTAGGGGTCGCATTAGGAAAAGCTCCAATTTTGACCTAATTTTTGGTAAAACAAACAGAATTCGCTCTAGTGCGACACATGCCTAAGCCTCTTAATTTTGCAAAAATTAGTGTCACTTTACTGAACAAATAATTTTATTTTTCTGTTCCGTTTTTATGAGGTACACGTTAAGACAGATTTGAAAGTTGAGCTCGTTCCCCCAGAAGAATCAACACAAAACTACAATGAACAACTTTGCAAAATACTCCTCAGTATCGAGGGAAAATATCTTGCGCTCGCATGTTAAGCAAAAACAGGGGCGTAATATATCGAGCACGGGAGACCGTGTTTTACCGCATCCCAAACTGCGAAAAGAAGGCCGAAAATACGGGACGTTGATTGTCCTTAAAGTTGGTTAAAGTTCACGATTGTTTCTTTGTGATCGATGGATACGGCAGTTCATGTTCCAAACACGTGGATAAATTTGTACGTGCGCTTCTTACCCAGCATAATCTCATAAAGACTTCGAGGTCAGCAGATCTCACACGTGGTCAGCTGCGTGCAATGTTGTTTGTGTAAGGACTGCCACATGATTCATGCATGTGAAAAGCATTTCGATTCGTTAGCACCTAAAACCTCAGTTCAGTCTACTGAGTCTGACTGACATTTACAAATGTGTGTACTGATTTCTGCTAAAACGGAATTTAGTCACATACAGAGCAAGTGACTACATCTAGCAGCAAATCAAATACTAGCCTGTTCCAGGCTCTCGGTAGTTGGGGACAAGCGACAAAAGAGGGCGAGCGATGGAAAAACGAGGGAGGACTAAGGCGAGGAACGGCGAGAGAGCTCAGTCCCCCTCGTTTTTTCTCTCACTCGCCCTCTTTTTTTCACTCGTCCCCAACTACCGAGAGCCTTGAGCTTGTTACGTATTTGTCAACCCCTTTAATTAATTCACGAATTAATTAATCTACACTTCTCAAAACTCAACAAATGTGCGGCAATCCACGCCCGCCCGACGTTTCTTCTGAACTTAAACGCAACACAAAATATCACGTGATCACAAAACATGATGACAAGTCCAAAGGCCTTATGTAACGCCAAAACAAAAAACGTGACAAGTTGGTAAGTCCAAAAATATCCGCCACAGATACTTGTACAAATGAATAACAAAAATAAATAACTAGCCAAATACCTAGCGAGTTGACAACTCAAAACGTTACAATTTAAGTGGGTGATTTTGAAAACAATTCAATCGGGTGATTTTGGAATGGCGACATTTCGTGATATAACATTCTCTGGATTATCCCTGCTGACAAGCAGGCAGGGTAACCCTAGAGCTCTCTGAAACAAGGGTTAACACAGCAAAAACGTCACTTTAGCACGTGTACATTCCTTCTCTTTTTATCTACCCGTTCTCAAGGAAGCTAAGGGTTTTGGCCTAATCCTGTAGATGAGCGTTAGGCTATCCTTAACGCCAGGGTTATGTTTTCTCCATGGTTTCCGTGTTTCTTTATACTAACGTTTTCTGTTAATTGCACTGAAGATGTTGCCTTTTTAAACTCGTGAATACGAGTTTATAGTGGTTAGTAGAGATCACTCGTTCGCTCGATCGCTCGATCGCTCGGTTGGTCTATTCCTGTAAACACTCGGGAATTTCTAGGCTTGATAGTTTTTGGCTGGAGGGGTGTGGGTGCGGTGGTAGGAAAACGAACGAGATTTGCTATTTGGGCACCGAGCACAGGGAGCAGAAGAGTCCTATTTGACCGTTTTCCTAGTTAAATTCACCGTACAATTGATGTATTGCAGATTTAATCAAACTGTATACACGAGATCGTGTTACGTGTCTGTTACATTATCAAAGTAACGCAACACATCCAGTCACTTTTATTTAAATTCTTTTCTACGCGTAGCATGTAGAGCAAGGTGCTAAATGTTCAGGGGTTGTCCTGGAGATAGGCAAATGGCCGACTCTTAGTTAATAATAAAATTTGAAATGCTCCACCTCCAGAATAAAGACGTGAGCAAATGCCCAGCTATTACCGAGAGGGGCTAGGATGGACACTTCTTGAATTGACTGATGCATTACGTGCCCTCAAGAAAGTTCACTCCAGGACGGCGGGGCTGATAACATTGCATGTACACGCAGCTAGTTTTCAACCACGTTTCCCCACCTACTCAATCAAGTTACATGGCCTTATGTTCATACAATGACGTGCTCATTTCAATTGTCACGCATTCTTATCCAACTGTCTCTTTGGTATAATGTTGGCAAACAAGAAGATTGTGATCAAATGGCAAACAACGACTACTCGTACACAAAGGATGCAAATCAAATACAATATTAGTATTGGTAATGATACGGTTTTTCTTGTTCAATTTGGAATTAATTTGCACTTGTGAGTTTTTCAAAAAGCTGAAATTGCACGAGCCGATTCGACGAGTGCAATTTCAGCTTTTTGAAAAACTCACAAGTGCAAATTAACTCCAAATTGAACGAGAAAAACCGTATGATTACTTATTGATAATATCATTAAACATGAAAAAATTCGCGTGGAGGAAGCAGTGACGGAAGATCTTTCTGAAAGGCATTATTTCTCATTCGAGAAAACTTTTTTCAAGGTTTCCGCACAAAATATTCGTCATCATTTTACGTGATATCATTGACTTAAAAAATTTCCTATTGTCTTCCAGCTAATCATGATCCAGAATTACGATGTGTAATTTGCACTGGTGTTACACTTTTTGCACTGGTGTTACACTTGAACTGCACTGTTCTCAGCCAATCAGAATCGAGTAATTTTTTCATGTATGTTATTATACACATAATCAGGAGCATATCCAGGAGCTCCTGACATAATTTCATTCACCATTTGTATTCAAATGAGTTTTGCATACTCCTATTAAATTCACTGTAAGGCTTCCACATGTTATCGCTGAAAAACACTCGAAAAATAATTTCGGCTGCTGCTAATACAAATTGTAAGTTCATTTCAGAAGTTGATCAGAAGTAAACGAACTGATCCAATCCAGTGGTCCCTTGTGTGGTAAATGGACATAAAGTGCAGAAGAGGACTAAGTTCCGCAAAAGAATCATTTACACTGTATAAGGAGACATGACCTTCCTGACTGTGTTTAAGGCATGGTGGGTAGGGAAATATGTGTGGTTATTTCCTGGAGTCACAATATTGCAGAAATGCAGCTATTTAAACTACAGTAACGTAACAAAATTGTCCGCTAAACTGTAAATACGTATTGCATGGCTATGTTTATATACCGTTCAAGTTATCGCATCTCAACTTGAATTCAAAGATAACGCCTTTAGCTAATTAGAAATGGAACGAGAAGTGGTGAACTTTAAATGAGTAAAGTAAGTAAGTGAGAACCCCCCAAAAAATAAGAACCAATCCTGTGCCCCATTTAATCTCCAAACCAATTATTTGCATACTTTTATCTTTACATCATCAGCTGCAGCTTAAGTCGTCACTTTTTTTTACATGTTATGCAATAACAATAGTGACATTAAATCCCTTAATGTTTATTTTGCTTATCTTTAACTTCAAAGTGACGATCTAATCTTAACTTTCAGCAAAACGGAAATTGAAGTTTTTTCGTCGTCTCTTTCAGCAGATTTTAAGCCTGTGGGGGTGGTACTTCTTCCACGTAAATCCGGGACACCGAGTTCCAACCTGTGTTGTCATCAGCAGAACCGTAACCAACACGGTTACCGACCCAGAATCCTACACGCACAGCACCCTTGTGGACTTTTTCACACACTCCTTCAATTTGTCGTACACGGTGCAAATTTTTGGCGCCTCCTTCTCCACGATTCAGGTAAACCACGCCATCAATCGCTGCTGGCGAAGAGCACTCGTCATCATCGAAGGTGAAATACCATCGCCTGCAGCAGGCATGGCAGTTATAGAGGCGAAGAACACCATTCCAAAAGACGCGCAGGCCAGTTTTGTCCGACATTTTGTTGAAACCACATTCCTACAGAGATTAATAAATCAACATCAACAGCTAGGAAACGATATCGAAACGCAAATTGATCTGAGTCTGCGCGTTGCAAGTGCGATGTTAGAATTGAACATTGGCGGTGACGGTAAATTGACGTAAATTATTCCTGTTTACTGCGACTTTTCTACGTTACATATTTTAGCCCGCATATACCTTTTGCGATGTCTAGTAAACTTACATTGAAGACATGATTGATCATCGCAGTTATATACACAACTAAAAGCCAGAAAAGAATTCAGGCCTGAACGGGATTCGAACCCATGACCTCTGCGATACCGGTGCAGTGCTCTACCAACTGAGCTATCAAGCCAACTGGGAGCTGGTCACATTGTGAGTTCGTAATATACCCGTAGATGATGAAGAGTGCAAATGAATGTATGAAAGATCACATATTTGAACTGCGGAGAAAGATATGAAGACATGATTGATCATCGCAGTTATACACACAACTAAAGAAATTCTTCGTCACCTACGGGTATATTACGATTTCACAATGTGACCAGCTCCCAGTTGGCTTGATAGCTCAGTTGGTTGAGCACTGCACTAGTATAGCAGAGGTCATGGGTTCGAATCCCGTTCAAGCCTAACTTTTTTTTCAGGCTTTAATTTCACAACTGCTTAAGTTGTGTGTATAACTGCGATGATCAATCATGTCTTCATATCTTTCTCCGCAGTTCAAATATATGATCTTTCATATATTCATTTGCAAACTTACATTGATCAACAAGGATGCATCGAAAATGTGAATAACTATTTAAGTCGAACGCCGGAAGTCTGTGAAATTTTCGACGTTTCCGATGTCTAAATTCATTTCTTGGCTTTACCTTGAATGATAATCTGAGACGAATTTTCTTTAACGTTTCTTTCACTCGGCCTTCCGTCGTTGAGACAAGATTTGCCATTTGATACTCAAATGTGCATATTGTCTTTATGTAGATTCCTCGGGATTTTTGTTGTTGTTGTTGTTGTTGTTGTTGCTGCTGTTCAATTCATTCGGTTTTCGGAAATGCTTATTGGTGAATTTCTTTTAAAGTATTGTGTCGAGTAGATGATTAGTATCAGCTATGGGAGGTCCGCTTTTAAGCTCGGCTAGATCTACATCCTACATTTTGACTTCATGCATACATGGCCCATTGACGTGACTGGTAAAGGTCTACACATACCTTGATCAATCCAGTGTCCTTTCCGTCTTTGATATTTTTCCAAACGCACTGTTTCCAGTTACTCCCCAAAGTGCCTGGAGGTTCCTGAGGGTCTTTATCGCCCGCGTCGCCTTTGGCTCCTGGTGGGCCCGCTGGGCCCGGGGGCCCTTGGCTTCCTTGTTTGCCATCGTAGCCTTGGTCTCCTCGCGGCCCCTTTGGTCCTTGCGGGCCGGGCGATCCCGCAACACCTCCTGGTCCCGCGGGACCAGGGCTCCCAGGGATACCTGGGATTCCTGGCGCGCAAAAGCAAGCACTGGCACCATAACCAGAAGGTCCACATGGGAAGGTTGTTTTACTGCCCTACATGAAGAAAGTAAAAGCCCGTGTATTCTTTCAAACTGTTCTAACTATCCTTCCTATCCTCCTCTAATAGTCTTTGGTAGACTTCCATGCTACTCCCATCTTGTAATCGTTCATCTAAACGTTACTGGTGTTTTTAATAGAGCTCCTACAAAATGAGCCCAGTTTACCTACATTTGCTTGAACAACTGAGGCAAAGAAGAAATGAAAGGGTCCTATGGGAGTTAAGAGTGAACCAAGGAACATTTACAATAATAAACTCACTTTGTCGTCACTTGGTTTACCGTTGCTGGAGTTGTCCGCGGCACAGACAATCAGCGGCAAAATCAGTAAGCATGGCATAATAGTCGTAAACAAGTTCATGTCTGAAAATATCGAGAAATATCCTTTGACCTGGGAACAGGAATATAAAATTGTCATTCGGTTGGTATCTGCAGTCATTGTGATATTTCTTACTGCTTCTGGACTGGTTCCGAAAAATTCGCAACCAGCTAATATAAGGAAAACATTTATGGTTCCTATAGTGTGATGTATGTGTGTAGATGCGAGAGAAGTTTCATATTTGTTTATGAGATGGATTTCTTGGGTTTTCTTGGAAGAAAATTTCTCTCTGTTGAATATTCCACAGTTAAAAACGTATTTCAGTCGTTGAAACACCTTAATAAGCAGATATCACATTGTTATTAGGTCTTTCTTTTATTTTATACACGACCCCACAAGCTTTTAGCTTTAAAACTCATTGTGTTGAAATAAAGGCTTTCTATCCTATCTTGTCCTATAAATGAACATAGTTTAATTCGATAAAACCCACCAGCACTTCAGTGTAAGCCACTGATCGCGTGAGTTTTCTAAGCTTTCCTCCATGCAATCCCTCAAATTTAATTCAATATATAGTGAGCAAAACATAATTGCCAGGACACTATTATGGCAAAACTAGTGAGCAAAACATAATGGGCAGGACACTATTATGGTAAAACTAACATCAAGTCTTCATACGCTTTAGAAAAATGTTCACATGTTTAAGTTGGTTTCAACAGTTTCCTCTCAACACTGAAACGCAAACTTGAGAAACTTCAAGTATGCGCGTTTTTCTTGAAGCAGCAAAAGTGTAAACATGATTTTAGCCTCATTCCAAAATCACTGAAACGGCCTGAGGCGACAAAGAAAATCGACTTTTAAACACAAGCTTGTTATTAGAACAAAAAACACCATTTGCTCAATATGCTTACCTGGGACTTGATCGATAGCCGGAGTAAATTATTTTGCAAGCGGTAACTGTTATTTATAGAGGATATAGTTCTTGGTGTCATCTCCGCTTTCAACTTTTGGCATTTTACAACATTAGATTTACTTTGACGGTTTAGAATATAGGCTGATTCAGCTTCAAGGTTTGGCTTTAGTTTTTTGCATAGCGTTTTAGCTTTCAGGTTTTTGACCTATTGTGAAATGTTGGCATTTTAGTGCCGAAGTAGCCAAGTTAATGGTCCTCAGTTTTTGACAAACAGGCTTGTTCAGCTTCAACGTTTGGTTTCAAGTTTTCGTCATGGCATTTTCAGCTTTCAGTTTTTGCCAAATTGGCTATTTTGTTGTTATAGTCTTCAGTTTCTGCCAAACAGGGTCGTCCACTTTTAGGGTTTGGTTTTCTTTTTTTATAGTACAGCGTTTTTGGCTTTCAGTTTTAACCATTTAGTGGTTAGTTCAGCTTTCAGCGAGTCTGTCATTGTGTGGAAGGCAGATTGATTTCGTTTTCCAAATTTGTCAACTGATGAAACAATTAATGACAGTTAATGTCTCATGGATTCTCGGGTCCCATTTGTCCCTCTCATTCTGTCTTTATCCTGTACCTGCAATTACTGAGAGAACGAGGGCCACCAGCGAAATATCGATCGATCTATCACAGATCTTGATGGATCTGTGACATCTCCGTAGCCTGTGTGACATTCGCTTCTTTCTTGCCCATGTAGACCTAAGCCTGTAAAGGCTGGTTTCCATATGATGGCTACGCTTGCTATAGGAAACGTTGAGTGGTCCTTACGAGCTTTCATAAGATCGCTGTGATCGTCCAGATAGAACTAAAGTTTATCTTCTCAACGATCATAGCATTCTGGCTAAACAGTTCATCGCCTTAAACATGCACTAGTTCTTCTGTTTTTAACACATTTCGAATGATGGTCAATTAATAATGCAACAAGAAATTTACATAAACCCACAGCTTTATTGGCAGATTTCTTACTCTTATATCAGCGTCAGCTTCACGTTGTTAAGGTCGGCTTTATTGAAATAATAATTTCTTAACTTGTTGCTTGGCTGTCCTGCAATGAAGACAGAATAGCCGCTATATTAACTTTGCCCCCAAACAGCATTTTTAATTTTTCCCTGGCTTGTCTCTCTTAGCAAGGTTAAGCCTGTGGGGGTGGTACTTCTTCCACGTAGATCCGGGACACTGAGTTCCAACCCGTGCTCGCGTCAGCCGATCCGTAACCAGTACAGTTACCGACCCAGAATCCCACGTGCACAATGCCCTTGGCAACGTTCTCACAAACTCCTTCAATTTGTCTTACTCGGTGTAAATTCTTCTTGCCTCCATCTCCATGTGTCATATAGACCACACCATCAATCGCCTCCGGAGCTGAGCACTCGGCACCATTGAAAGTGAAATACCATCGCCTGCAGCAGTCATGGCAGTTATAGATGCGGAGATCGCCATTCCAGAATACACGCAACCCGGTTTTGTCCGACGGTTTGTGAAAGACACATTCCTGCAGAAATAAAGGAAAAGGATCAAAGCAGTTTAGTACATTTTAGGTTAACCCTCGGGTGTAAAAGAAGTTTCTTTCAGGAATGTGAAAAACATTTTACTCTGTGACGATGAAAAATTCGTGCCTCACGGAAATCTTGATATCAACTGTTTCTCCGCGTGATTTGACAATGCTTAAGCAGCCGGATTTTGACAAGGAGTTCAATTCAGATTTCCAGTTTCAAGTTCTACAACAGCATTACAGAATTAGTTCTTTAATTTATTGCATCCCATGATCATGTTTTATTAAATAAACACCAATGAAATACCAGGTGAGCTTTCACGCGAAAAGACGATATCTTCACGTGAAACGTGAAAACAACATGTTAAAAATGTCCAATATATATTCAAACCAGCTAACGAATTATCGACTCCAAACCAATTTTTGATTCGGGAAAACAGCTTTTTTAAGACAAGACTCCCCTTTTGATTTAAGCTTATCGTTAATGACATTTAATGTTTACCTTGATCAATCCAGTGTCCTTTTGCTCGTCCAGATTTTTAAACACACACTGTTTCCAGTTACTCTCCAGTGTCCCTGGGGGTCCCTTGGGGCCCGGGAGGCCTTGACTTCCTGGTTTGCCATCTTTGCCTTGGTCTCCACGCGGTCCCATGGGTCCTTGCGGGCCGGGCGATCCCGTGACACCTGCTGGTCCTGCGGGACCAGCGCTCCCAGGGATACCTGGGATTCCTGGCGCGGCACAACAGCAACTTTGACCACAAGTCTGTTCAACTCCCTAAGTGTAGAAGATGATATGCGCATTTGTGAGCTCAGAAATTTTCCCTAAAACAAGAACGGATAGTTCATCGCTTCTTGACTTCCTCAGACTGCTGGAATTAATTTTCGATACGAAGAAATTAGAGTAAAGTGCACAAAAAGCTCGTGCCACACGATTTGAAGAAAATACGATTGTTGTGAGAGAAACAATATTTTGAGGAAATCTTTTCTTTTGAGTACCCTACGTACATGAAGAAAGTAAAGGCCAATAATTAAATAAGAGAAACATTTCGATAACTTCCTACTTTTCCAGCAGTCTTTGGTAGACTGAGGGGTTCCGTTCTGCAGTAATCTGTTAAGCAGTTCCATTTCTTTTACTTGACTTACTAGTGCAGCAGAGGCAAAGAAGAAAGGAGCCGAGGGATATTAAACAAGAGTACACAGTGTGAAAAAGGTCAGACAGAGAAATATAGAGAATTGGTAATGATGCAGCTTCAGTGCGACAAGGCCACCTAAGCAATTTTCTTTTTAACAAATCAACCAATGCCGTTTGCATCATTGTTTCTGCATGTTATGTGCAGCTTGGCCAGATCGATAAAATGAGGAAAATCTATTCTGAACACCCGAAATTTTTATTCATCACTTTGCACAGACGTTTGTCGGATGGCCTTGTTTGGAGTAGTCGAAATAGAGATGGTGACTTAGTGATCATGATAAAATGAACTCACTTTGTTTCCACTTGGTTTGCCGCTGCTGTTGTTGTTCATCGCAGTGCACAAATTAATCAGCGGTAAAATCATCAAAAATAACATGATGGCTGGCATGTTCATACGAGAGTTTGCCATTGATGTCCTTCAATCTGTAAGGTGTAAGAACACAACAACAACGTTAAGTAGAAATCATCGATGCTTCTCGTACCGAACACGAAATGGCACCTAATAACTTTGCAGTTATAGCAACTTTTCTTGGCCGATTATTAGCACCTAATGAGAGCTCAAGTGAATCAGTTACAGGCTGAAATGGGTATTATTGAGTACGACATAAAACAAGGTATTCTTTCTGTTGAGTATCAGTGATAATATAACAAGCTTGATCTATCTTTGCTCACAAAATCAATAACAAAAGAGTCCGATTATGCCATTAAGGAAGACTACTTTGTCTTCGTTTCAAATGACTGACTAAAAAAATTAAGATCATCTTTTGTTATAGGTGAACTCTCTCTATAAAGTATACCCCTTGCTATTCTGGTTATAAAGAAAACTTATGATGCTCAGATTTTGGGTTATTCTCTCTCAGGTGAATAGACAAGCTATACCATTTTTTTGATTTAATCTGCGCGCAAAAGATCAAGTGGTCTAACTAGTCGAAATTGTTCAATGAAATAAAATTCTGCCCTTTGTGAAGTTCGCGTAAATACAGATTCGAGAGCTGATTATAATTTTTAGCAATTTTATTGGTTTCATGCCTGGGATAATTTCCGAATTGATAATGTTGTAAAATTTGACGTTTTGTGAATTTCTTTTGCTCTTTGTAAGCTCACGATAAAACCGGTTTGAGAGCCGAGTAGTCTCAAACGAAATGAAATTACTCACGTAAATTACTGTGAGACTAAAGCTTAAGCATGTAGAAAGGGAAAAGATTGTCAGATTTCACCGACATTCAGCAAGACGGCGTTAAAATCAAATTCAGTGCTGACAGTTTCAGACGACAAATCAAAGTTGGTTAACTTGACTCTGTAGTTCATTGGGGCCTTTTTGTAGAATTAAGGGAAATTGAAATTCTTTCAACTTCATTTTCGTTTTCATTGTCTCTTAACAGGATTTTTGTCAGAACAAGTCTATAAGAGAATGTACAGACAGAACGAGTTGTTCAAGATATTTTCCGGTGCAAAAAGCGTTATCATTTGTCCGCGATTGGGCAAACTACATGTTATTATACGTCTTGTACCAATATGAAAACCATTTTTGTTATTTTTCTATTCCGGCAAAGTAGAAATTATTGACTTGAGACGATAAAAAAAAAAAACAAAAAAAAAACAAAAAAACAGCTGGCTTTAGAAATAAATTCACAGAACTCCTGAAATGGACTAAATTTATACCAGTAAAACTAGCTTATCTGAGTTTTGCTTTTGTTTTTCTTTCGTTTAGTCGAACATTCGCAAGATATTTGTAGTCAAAATGTTTACTCATGCTGAAGTTGAATCATTCATCTTCGAAGTAATTAACTCGCCGTCAAGGTTGTCTGAGTGGAAGATCAAACCTACACGCCGAACTTGACAGAAGTTGAAGACTTTTCGTCGAAACGAGTGAAAATAAGCGAAGTAATAATAGGATAACCTATTTTTGGTGCTATTCGGAGGCGAAGAACAATATTTGTTTTTCACTGGGTAATTTTTCCAGTGCTTTGTTTAATGCGATTCTGGTCAGAACAAGTTGGAGTTTGTGAAACAGTTTGCATCCTTAATCAAATGTAGCTCCCATTCTAACAAGCAATACTAAATAATTTTTTTTTTCGTCGCCAAATAATGAAGAGACTGCTTGTGTTATCGACAAGTAACGTAGAGATTTTATCTAACTACTGATATACTCTTAACTAAAAGGAAAGCACCATTCTTACAATTTCTTTTAATTTAGCTCTGTTTCTTTCTCCAGGACATTTTCGCATTTTTAGATGGCTCCTTTATCGATAGCCCACATGAACATGTTCTGCTAAACCTTTGCCCAGCAAAGTCATGCATTTTTAGTAAATTCTGGGAAATACTGAATTCGGTTTGTTTGATAAGTCAACGCAAATAGGCTTATAAGTATTTCATTCTTGATTACAATTTTCCTTCACCGTAAAGCGCGGTTAAATCAAAGCAATAAAGTGACTCGGCTTTGTACAGCTATTGAGGCTATGAAATATTGAGGTTTTTTGGTTACGAATTCTAAAATAATCGTCGTGGAAAAACAAATGGTCTTGAGTGAATATGGCCTTACTCGTTTTGAAAATTTTAAAAATCTGATTTGGAAATTTTGGGATAAGGCGTACTAGGTAATCAACAATTCTCGTATTCGTACAAAGCTGGAAACGTCAAGTTCAACAGTTTTAAAACAATTATCCCGACGAGGCGAAGACGCACATTCTCTTCTTGAACTAAATCTGTAGTTGACGCAGCTATTAACAGTGTAGCCAACGATCTGACAAGGGGTATTCAGTACTCTCTTACGTACCTCTGAAGTACCTCAGCCTCTTTATAACTTGATGAGGACAGAAAATTCTAAGAAAAGAAGTGATAAGTTATCATTAGATTTAACCTCAAAATGAGAAAAGACTCAATAAAAGCGGCATCATAAGGAGAATATAATAAGCTTACATCGTCTGCTTCTTTATTCTGGGAGTTTACGCTTGTTGCTGTTCAAAACTAAGTTACCAAATGAACAACCCCGTTGATTTGAGCGTGGTTCTCGTCAGAACAAGTTCGTAAAACTACATCAATATTTCAGAGATTTGCTCATTCTGATAAGCAGTGCTATTTGCTGGAGCTGTTTGTTTAGTTGTGCATTTGTCCAATGAAATAAACCCTTACATTCTCAACTGATTTGCTTGTCGCGTTTTTGTAAACGGACTTGAACTTTTTGAGATTTACTGCAAACAAAGCTTATTACACAACTCTCGTGCTATTGTGGCTAATTTTAGAAAAGATCACTTTAATTTGTTTTTGTGTATTTCATATTATGTTTGCAAATGTCAGTTCTCAAAACCTGAACCCAACACAAATATTTGCTTGGACAATCTGATTTAATTTTCCGTTTTCATTTTTCACTAGACTTCGAAGCTAAAGTTTTCGTGAAATGCTTTATTTAAAATCAAATACTAAGGAAATGTTGGTTTGTGTAGGGAGAGGTTCTCCTTGTAATCACCAATTCATAAACTTCTCGAGGTGTGTTTTCGTTCCAACAAACGAAATTATCCGCTTGGGTTTGCTCACTTTCCGATCTGGCCAATAATTGGATGCTGTCTGACATTTCTTATGATTTTCACAATGTGCAGTGCAATCCTTCAGAATGATTTTCTCGGCAGAAAACAAAGGAAGAGATCTGTGCCTATAAAGCTCTTCCCTCAAAAATAAAAACTTCATAACACTTACATACTCTCAGCCCTTTCTTTCACGGAGTGAAACATTTATTTATAATTCGAATAATTTTCAATGATTTTAATACTATTTATGCCGGAAAGAGCGCAAAATGTTTCTCATCTTGTAAATATCACTTGAAGTAGTAATTAAAAAGAAAAGTAATTCTAAGATTAATACACGAGGCTTGTCAGATTAAGAATTTCTTTGCATTTGATGGTATCAAAGAATACATTTTACAATGCATTGCGTTCTTCCTCATTTTATTCTCCTAGATACGGCCAATATGGATCCGGTTTTCTAACAATCGAAGCAATACCTACTAATTTACTTGATGCTGGACATAAAATAATAAATTAATATAATTTTATCAGGCAGGTAAAACTCCTAACACTTCTTGTTATTGCGTGACATCATTCACAAGCTAGCAACTTTTGTTCTTCGCACGTCGCGTAAATCCGGTTTTATTTTTATAAAAATACCTATCTTTGAAAACAGCGAACATTCGAAGGTATTTCAGTATCACCAAGTCAAAATGGACTTGCTCTGGACATGATCGAGCCTATTTGAAGTGCTTTACAGTCTCGATGGCCAATGGATTTTCATTTTTTAATGCAAAATTGAGATCAATTTCATAGCAGTTAGTCACTTACCTTTTGTTTCACCGTCGGCCGTGGGTTGTTGGAGCGGAAACAGAGACAGCTATACGGTAGGAGAGAAAGTAGAGTCTTAAATCGGTTAATCTAAGAACATTAAAACTACTCGGGCATCCAAAATGACAATTATCGATAGTAGCACAACTGCAAACTCACTTCTGATTAATCTTCTACCATTTGAAACAACCTGAAAGTAAAGATATTTTTTGCTAGCTTGTGTATAAAATTTTCAGTTATTTTTATTTAATGAGCATCTCGTCAGAACAAGTTTACGAAGCAACAGTACATACATATTAAACAATAAATCCATTCTAACAAGAACTGTTATTGGCTAGAAAGATTTGTTTAGTCTTAGTTTCGTCCAATGGAATGAAGGCTTCCATTCTTGTTTTGTTCGTCACGTGTTGTTCCCGAAATGTAGTTTACTGCGGACTTGGGATCAAGTGGCTGGCCGAGAGAAAGAAACATATATTGGCCTTAATCAGATTTGTTTTGTGACACTTCGTTCGGTGTATGATCTTTCTGCATTGAAAACCATAAATACAGAAATTTGCGGATAAAGCAGTGAATAATAATTTTAGCCTCGAGCAGTAGGATCATATCTTTGATTGATTATTTTATATCTTTAATGAATGAAACAACAGCGTGTATACCAAACCTAAATAACCTACACTTTATATGAAAGGAAAAGAACAAGCATTTTTTTCTGCAGTGTTCTCGTTAAATTTCTGCAACTTGCGCTTTGTGTTCATAGAGTGACTTAGCTGTTTTCTCTGGTTGTGTCAAATCACTTCGAGTTGTGAATATTCGAGTTCTGGGTGACTGACTTTGTTTGACAGTTGCCCTGCCCCCCTGGACAGTTGGTTCATTATTATACAGTAGACAGTCCTGGTTTTTCATATTATTCTTTTCAATCGTTATGACTGACAAAGCAATTATTTATGTTGAGAGGTGAGCGTGGGCAATCCGAAACTTAAATTTTAAACAGAGAAAACGACATCTCAGTCAAAAGCCTCCGGACCTTTGTACTGAGTTAGGTAGGTTCCACTTCGATGAACCTATTCAACTCCAGTTGTTACAGCTGATGAATGTAATTCTTCTAATTTTCAAGCTGAAATAAAACTAAAAAAACGACAAAAATTACAAACAAGGCACCTTCTGAATAAAATCTGTTTCAACTTAAAATTTCTAACTATATATGTACACAGTTATGCCTTCGTACTTTTGAAGTGTATTGAGGACCTTTTAGGTATTTTCACTGAAAGTCAGTACGCTTAGCAACAACTTCACCGAATTTAGCGATCCAGCAGACGTGGAAAAATTTTAATGTTACTATTTGGAACAATTCAATTGCTTCCGGGACAAACTAAGTCTTAAAGTATCTATACGGCCAACAGGGCTTTTTGCTGTTTTGATATCTCTGTAATGTGGTCGAAGCGGGAAATTTAAAGCTTGATTTCATGGCAAAAATGCACCGGAATTACTTTTTTTTTTGGTTTGAATATATTTTAAGATGTTATAGAGATACCAAAACCACAAAAACCCTGTTGGCCGTATAGACACTTTAAGGGCTTCCACTAACTGCCTTGATAGTCAGTCTGGCGCCAGTTCGCCTCGTTAAGAATAATAAGTTTGAATGTTTAAATTCAGCACCACTTCTGTAATTGGGGTCTAGTGTGTCCCAGGCGCCCAACTTGCGAGGGTAAACGGGCGTTTTGTAGCGAGTGGAAGCTGGTCCCTTCCGATCTTTCTTGCCGGTACTCATTCGGCTCTATGTTTTCCCCTTCATCGCCCTTACTGGCGCTACGAATCCAGTCGTGGTCTACGTGCTTCTACGGGCGGCACACTCACAACTGGGACACTGATAAACGATGGTAGATCATGTCGCACTCCGCACGTGGTTGCATCCAGGCGGGTCACACCAATACGCGTGGTAGCGGCGCGGCTGGACTCAACCGAAATACCTCTGAAAAGGTTTCTGAAGGCGCACTTGAACTCGTTCGACCTGAGTATGTAAATGATCGGGTTTAGAGCGCTGTTTACTCCCAACATCACAATAAGTGCAGAGCGGATTGCATCGGGTACTCCACTGGGACCGAGTGTGACGGTGAGCAGGACAAAGAACACCGCTGGGACATAGCAAAACACAAACGCTCCAATCACCATTACTGTACGAAAGAAAAATTAAAATGAACGAATTAGCTATATTAAGGTGGCTCTGAACCCTAAGTACAGATTTTTTAAGACTTTGCCAAAACTTGCGTCTAATCATGTTTATTTAAAATTTGATAATTTGAAAAAAAATTCACCGTGCCGTTTTTGAATTATAAGAGTAATGTTTCCTGTCCTGTCTTTTTATATATTGGATGGTGGAGAGGGAAATATTCGGAAACACGTTTAAAAAAAAAGCAGTGCTTTTTGAAACTCCAGTCTGTTGTGAAACACAGATAACTGATGTTAACCTCAGCGGCCTTGACTGGGGTCAACCCTGTTAACCCTATTAAAATGTACATTTAACGTCTTTTCTGTCATACCTGCAGGTAAGCTAGTTATGCCTCCCAAACTAAATTACCTAAAGGAAAACTCAACAATTTAAACCATCAATCTCTTGCTACCTATTGTCTTCATCCATTTCATCTCTTTCCTCTTCCTTCTTCTCATGTCAGCCGTCTCAGGATTCAGGTTTTCGCCAGGCTCAACTCGGTTGCTCTGAAACCAAGAGATCTTAGCGATGTGACCGAAGACGAATATCAGCACCGCAAAAGGAATCGCATCGAACAGAGTGATATGAGACAAGGTGGACTTTGTGCAACAAGGCAGGTTCACTAGTGGACTGTGAGCAGCCTAAGATGCTTGTTCTAAACTGAGAGCAGGGGCTGTCAACATAAAACAAAGGCAAGTTCACCATGGAAACCACAGGAGCACCCCAGGCGATCAACAAGGCTAGTTTTACGCGTGTTCTAGTGACAATTTCAGTGTACCTCAGAGGGTAAAGGATGGAAATGTAGCGACCGCAACTGAGAATACAAATGTGAGCAATATCGACGTGCAAGAGTGTTGCGTGTATGATTACGAAGTGCTCGCACATTTTGTACACAGCCTCAAAGTCGTAGAGCCAGATCAAGCGAAAGAGAAGAAACGACAGCCAGGAGAAGTCAGATATTGCTAAGCTGGCCAGAACAGAACTGCCTGGTTTTTGACGGAGGCTTGTCACGCGCCAAATGGCCAGGCAAACACAGATGTTACCAATCAAGTTTGCTATGACAGTGGGGCCTAGAACTGCAGTTTGTAAGGTTGTGGATACAATACTCGGAGACGGCGCAGTGAAGCTCTCGCCAGAATGTCGAGACCCGTCAAACGAATCGCCCATGCTGGTTTGTTGGCTCGATGCCTTACAAGTTTGCGTCGCTTGATTACTGGCGCTGCATTATCAGCGGCGACTTAATTTTCACCTCACTTCTTTAAAAATAGTTCTTTTCTTAGATGGCTTAGGTGAACTTCCTCGTTATTGTTCGAGCGGCTTGCAAATTTTTAAGTAATAACAAGGCCGGAGAATAATATTCAAATCTAGAAACGAAAACCCAGAATTTTCCTTGCACGAATCCACCGTTTTCGAAAGAATCCTTCCCGGTCAATAGGACTGAGGAATGAAAAGAGCTTCCGATGAAAAGCTAATGGGCAGAATTTATCACATACTAACATGAGATTGAAGTGTAGTGTAGGTTATTTAACGACATAAGTGGACCAAATACCCAAAAATTAAGAATGTATGTTAAGGTGGTCGCAGTACAAATATTTGTTTTCGCCGGTTATAAAGGCGAAAAAGGCCAAAAAAAAAAAACATTTCCTGAAGTACAGGGGAGTATATGAAAAGCCAGACAAATGATGAAATTCGTGAAGAGATCAGTTTTCATGATGAGATCAGTTTTCATAATTTTGCGCCTAAATTATAACAGGAAATAGCATATTTTGTTCACTCTCTCAGCCATTCAAGATAGTTTAATCTTTATAATCTGTCGTGAACCTTTTTCTTTTCTTTAAAACAAAGGACCAGAGACAAATGCTATTAGCATCACTTATTTTGTTAATCGATGTTTAATTCCAGCGTTACAAAGAGAGGGAGGAGTGAAAAAGCACACGGCCAAGTTCTGAATCAAAAAATAAATTAAATCTCAGTTTAAATGGTCAAATTTCAGTACCAAAAAGAACCAGAATTTATAGGCTCGATAACATTCTGTTCCAAATTGAAATTGATATTTATAACCAGATTATGATCTGAGAGAACTTATCCCCCCGTGCGTGGGCTTCTTCCATTGATAATGTCTTTCAATCTTCTTTTAGCGCTTGGTCATACTGAGAGGCCAATCTAAATGACGTAATAAATACCGTTAGTCCTCGAATTAGCGACCAGGGGGCCTGTTTCTCGAAAGCTCCCGTAAATACCGGGCCGGTTAACGGGAAACTGTACCGGGCCCGAGATAGCGTTTCTCGACGCAACCGTAAATTTTCCCGGTGCTTACCGGGCCTGATAAAATAGCGGGTTGTTACCAATCTCTAGCGCGCGCCTCATGCTCGTGCGCGAGAGAAGGAGAAACACTTGGGACTATACGTACACATTCGACTCTGATCGATTCTGTTGTCGTTGCGACTGTGATGCTTTTTGAAGAACACTGCGAAGTTTAACTTCGAAGTTATCGTTGTGTCAAAGGAGAGCAACTGAGAGGAATCGTTATTTTGCATGGTCATATTATTTGAAAGTGATGATCAATTGGCTTTTGTAGCTCGATTCGAAGACTTCGTTCGACAATCTCGCTCTTTTCTAGGAGTGTTGTCTTTTTCCGTGACTCATTCTAATTCAAAATGTTCACTGAGCAATCAAACAAGATCTGCGGACTGCCGAGGAAAGAGTGTGAACTTGAGAACTTGAAATTTAGCTACAAACACTTATTTCAGCAATTTATACTGATAAGAATTTCGCTTAAGTAAGTGTACGGAATATTTGGAATAAGGAAGGATCTTGCTAAAATTTTTAGGCGTCATTTAACCGTTTTTTCTGGCAAACATCAAGCGTAATTTTCACTGATCCCAAATCGACTGTTCTAGCATAAAGCAAGCTAAAATCAATAGAAATGCGACTGAAACAATTATGAGATTGGGGAGAATAATTTTAATGTTCTTTATTCTCGTTTATCTATCGTGAGTACAGGACGCTTCTTCGTGTTTCATCTAGCTAGAAATGCTATAACCAACATTTGTCAGCATTTGTGCACCGCGCCTAATGCGACTCTTCGCGATCGCTCTAGATCTACTATGTTTAATTTTTGTGTAATTTGTCTGTTTTCTAATTTCCTCCTCCCTTCCAAAAAAGTAAAAAAAAAAAMCTGCAATTAAAGCACAAGAAACAGGTTTGGCTTGCAGTAAGATCAGGTTTGCGTGACAGGAACCAATTTTTTTGTCCATACAAAGAAGCCATTTCGAAAACGCGCGGCGAGTGATCGGCGTTCACATGACAGTGTTTATTTTTTTTTCCCGCCGTTTGTTGGTTTTGAAAAACAATCAAATAGAACTTCACAGTTATATAGCGCTTGCATGCAAACGCCTTCAAACTGTAAAAATTAAACAACAACAATTATATTTACTTAGGTTTCCGGAGCCAGCGTGCAGCTACTCGCCGTGTTTCTCTCCAATTCCTCCTCAAGCTCCTCAACGAGCCACTCCATCCTTGCTCGTGAGAGCCGAAATCGTTCAATGACTTCGCAGTCAGCCATATCGGCTAGAAAGGAGCGTCTTTGATAAGACCGTGAAACAAAAAAGTCCGCCTCCGGCCGCCATTTTGTTTGGTCTTGCAACATTTGTGACTTCCCGGTAACTTTATGGGAGGTCACGACCTCCCGTAAGTTACCGGACAAGTTACCGGGAAATTTAACGGGATCGAAAATAACGGGAACTTTGAGAAACACCCGGAAAGTTTACGAGGACTTACCGGGTGACTTACCGGGCCCGATAATTTACCGGGTCTTTCGAGAAACGGGCCCCTGGGCCGGGATGTTCGAAAAGCGGTTAACGCTAACCCAGGATTAAAATTTAACCGAAGTATATTTGTTTTCTTGTATACTAATGTTTTTCACTGCTTATGTTTTGTGTATTTTAAGATTATTCAAACTCAAAACAGAAGGCCAAACAATAAAGACAGAAAATCTCACCGCAAAGTTACAAAACTCAAATCAAAATTTGAACAACCCGGTCCAGCTGGCGCTGATTTAAATCGAGGAAGAAGGGAGGGCGGGGGAACGCTCATTTAATTTTTCCCAAATCGTGGTCAGATATGATCGGGTTTTTTAGTAATAAATGTATGTGTCAGTCGCTCAGAAGGATCCTGTCTCTCTTGGAGAACTACGCAATATAACACCTTTGGCCAATTTAGTCATGCTGCACAAGGTTGGCTGGGCTTCAGCCAATGAATCAGTGGATCTTCAATACCATCCGTTGCGACGGTCAATGCGCAGTGCTTGAATGAGTCGATAATCATTTGCTTGTGATTAGACACGACAAAAACTATACATCTTTTGTTGTTTCAGTACTCTTCCATAAAACAAGGGGAGGAGAGAAAGCGCTTATTCGAGGGAAGACGCTTACTTTAAATTCTGGCCGATGGGAGTGGCGCTTATTCGAAGGGCGTTTATTTGAAGGGAGGACCAAATTCGAGAATTTACAGTGCGCAAATAACTTGCGCCTGGATTTTCGGAGCGCAATTTGTAAGGAAAGAGGAAGAAAATTGCCCGGCGCTTTTAAAAAGCTTTCCAAAGAGGTATTTTTCGCCTTAATCCGTTAAGTTCTCTCCGTAAAACGAAATTCGAGCGGGTTAGAATAGGGCGCCAGGGCGCCAGGGCGCCACATGTGAACCAGTCACGCAGCGAAATGACAAGACATATTTTGGAAGTCAACATAAGATAAGCACATAGAAGATAACTTTCCTGCCCAGCGATTTGAAAATGCTTTCCAAAGAGAGATCTATCGCGATCCAAACGGTGCGGTAGTTCTGGGGAAACAAAGCTTGGTAAATATTACCCAGCACTTTCGAAGTTAAATATGCAAGAATTTGCTCTCAGTGCACTGAGTGCTCTACCAACTGAGCTGTCAAGCCAACTGGTAGCTGGTCACGTTGTGAATTCGTAATATACCCGTAGATGGTGAAGATACAAGTGAAGCCATTATTGATCATAGTGACCAGCTCCCAGATGAGCACTGTACTGGTATCGCAAAGTTCATGGGTTCGAATCCCGTTCAAACCCGATAATTTTACAACTACTACGGTTGTGTGTATAATTGTAATAATCAATCTTGTCTTCATATCATTCTCCGCAGTTATTACATGATCTTTCTATGATATTCATTTGAATACAAGTCTTGCGCTGTGTCAGTAATCATTCATGCAGGGGAATGATACGACTTGTATTTTAACTTCGGAGAAGCACGTATAAGATATTTTTCCTGCCCAGCGCTTTGAAAATGATTTCTAATGCAAACGGTGTGGTAAAAAACAAAATGATTTTATTTCTCTGTTAACCGGTTAGATTTCTAATTTCGGATTTACATGGATGCGACCCGAATGACTGTTGGGCATTGGCTGCGCAATAACCTCACCGAGTCTAATATAACTTTCCCAGCGTAACGCGAAGATTAAAATAAATTGGAAAAGATTATCATGAACACGACTGAGGATTTGTTCTCTCAGGATCATAATCTCTGGTATTAATATCATTATTGTTGTTATTATTATCATATGAATTGTGCAGTTTTCAGCAGATTGCTTTGTTTTGGAGATAAAGCGTTTTGGAATTTGAGTTTTGGAATTTTATCCTCGTATCTTCAGAATTTAAGCCTGTGGGGGTGGTACTTCTTCCACATAAATCCGGGACACTGAGTTCCAACCCGTGTACGCGTTAGCCGATCCGTAACGAGCACAGTTACCGACCCAGAATCCCACGCGCACAATGCCCTTGGCGATGTTCTCACACACTCCTTCGATATGGCGAGGGCGGTGTAAATCTTTCTTGGCACCATTTCCGTGTACCATATAGACCACACCGTCAATCGCCTCAGGACCTGAGCACTCAGCTCCGTTGAAGGTAAAATACCATCGTCTGCAGCATTCATGGCAGTTAAAGATGCGAAGATTGCCACTCCAGAAGACGCGCAGGCTTGTTTGGTCTGACGCTTTGTTGAAAAGACATTCCTGCAAAAATTAAATGAAAGGGAAATTTTGAACAGGAAGGGTGACCATGGGACGCTAAAATATAAGTTCAAATTTCTGAAAGGAAACGTTTCTTCAGCTGGGCCTGGATTTATTGCGGTATTTTTATCGTCGTCTACCTTGTTAACGAGTATAACATGGCACGGTCATGTTTAGACACGAGATATTGTGATGGAAGCGTTGTAACTCACTATATACCGCATATTTGTTAGTTAATTTTAGCTTAAAGGCGGTTGTAATGCATCATGGTATCTGTGCTATGGAATTATTCGAAAGTGCACGGTGACTTTACATAAGTCCAAACTATGGCACAAGACCAAATTAACTTTTAAAGGCCCTTTCTTACATACCTACCAATAAATCCAATCTGCGACAAACGAGGGTCACAAGAAAATAGCTTCTGAATTAATTTTAATGCTTTTGCTAGGCTGTGAAAGCGCCTACAGAAGAGTATAGGTAAAGGCAAAGTCTGCGTATGAGCCAAGTGGCCCATCAGGCCGGAGCTTATCCCGGTTTCTGTAGCATGAAGCGACTAGGAGTATTTCTACTCCCCCCTGGATGGGATGCTAGTCCATCGCAGGGTTACCCCCAGCATTAAGTTCGCCGGTACCCATTTATACACCTGGGTGGAGAGAGGCACTGTGAGAGTTAAGTGTCTTGCCCAAGAACACAACACAATGTCCCCGGCCAGGGCTCGAACCTGGACCGTTCGACCCGGAGACGAGCGCACTAACCACGAGGCCACCGCGCCTCCCCTACAGAAGAGTCTATTGCTCTTTATTTCACGACCAAGATGAAGGGCCGCCTGCACCTCTTCCACGCCGTTAAATTGAATCGAGACTTTTCAGTTCAATCATCTGTCTCACTAAACATACCTCACTGAAAAGGTCAAAATACAGTTGGCGAAGATAAAAAGATTAAAACAAACTGAACAAAAAAAAAAAACCCCTGCATGTTACACGAGATAGCCGAAAGAATGGTAAGTGTAACATTTACCTTGATCAATCCAGTATCCTTTCCGTCGTCGAGATTTTTCCAAACACACTGTTTCCAGTTACTTGACAGCGTCCCTGGAAGTCCATGTGGGCCTGGAGGGCCTTGACTTCCTGGTTTGCCATCATAGCCTTGGTCTCCACGTTGTCCCATGGGTCCTTGCGGGCCGGGCGATCCCGCAACACCTGCTGGTCCCACGGGACCCGGGCTGCCTGGGATACCTGGGATTCCTGGTGTGCCACAACAGCAACTTTGACCGCAAGTCGGTTGAATTTCCTTAATTAATGTAGAAAGCAAAATGAGCATTTGTTAGCTCATAAAGATTGCTTTGGAGCACAGAACGGATACATCTGTTCTTCCATTTTTTCCGAATAGTCTTTGACCTCTTTGGTAGACTGCGAGCCTGAATTTTTGAACCGAAAAAGCATATTAAGAGTTTCCTTTTATTACATTCATAATTGCAGCCATTACAAGAAATTGAGCATCGGATGGGTTAATTAGACGTCTGCGGTCAAACAAGGCAAACCGAGCAGAAAGAGTGCACGGTAGGAGCTTGTAGAGTGGAGAGAGGTTGGTAGCAATAATAGATATGTCCATAATATTTTCTTTTATTTTAAAAATCATTTCTATTAACAAGGCTAAAAAAGTTAAAAGTAAAAAACCGAACGTTTTTTACACTAGGTCATCTTCTGATATCTTGCACTTCTAAAGAAGGAGGGGAGTGTGACACGGTCTCTTAAGGGTGCGTTCCTTAGTACGGAGGGTTGATCGTGATTCTGATCATCCCTATGGAACACAAATGAATTCGGTTTTGGTCATATTTGGAGTGATTTTTTTTTTTGCTATCAGCCAGTTGTGAACATTTTCAAAATCTTGACTTAGATGCAACTGAATATTGTCTGCATTGTCACCTGCATATGTAAGATGGTTGTCATCAGCGTACATCCTCGGTGCACAATTTGACAGACAGTTTGGAAGATCGTTGATATATAACAGAAATAGTAGTGACCCTAAAATTGTCCCCTGGGGGACGCCACAACTTAACGACCAACTTTTAGAGAGCGACGCGTTGATGGAGCACATTCGAGTACGATTCTCTAAATATGACTGAAACCATTTGTGCGCGTTTCCATATATGCCGTGGTCTCTTAATTTTGACAAGAGAATCTCGTGGTCAGCTGTGTCGAAGGCCTTTTTTAGGTCTAAGAAAACAACGGCATTGATTTTGCCGCGGGCAACGTTGTACGCCCAAGTGTCCGTGGCCTCAAGGAGAGCCGAGACAGTTGAGTGTATAGCACGAAAACCTGATTGATATTTATAGATGATGTCATGCTCTTCTATGTAGGCGTATAATAGTTATTGACCATAGACGATTTCTTCAAAGACCTTGGCCACAACTGAGATCACTTATCTTATCTTATCTTATCTTATCTTGTCTTATCTTATCTTATCTTAGCTTAGCTTAGCTTAGCTTAGCTTAGCTTACCTTTTTAATCAGCCTGATTTTAAAGTATTAGGGATTGATTTATACTGACTAGCTTTTTAATGTAATCAACTCACTTTGTCTTGACTTGAACTTGCACTTGATTTGCTGTCTGTTGTGGCGCAGAAAGCGATCAGCGGTAAAACGAGTAAACTTAACATGGTGTGGGAAATGTTCATTTGACTTTGATATGATGGCATTTGATCTGCGAGTAAGAATGAATAGAGAATACAGTGAAACCTGTATTAAGCGGACACCATCTATTAAAATTTCTTCCCACATTAATTTTAAAATAAACCTGCGTTCAGCGGATGCGGACACCAATATCAAGCCATTTTGTCGCACAAAACCTGCAAAGCGGACACTTCAAGGGCTTTTTACTTCTAAAAGCTCAGCATAGACTCCTTTAACAATCTTCAGCGATGTCATTTTAAAGCTAAGTAAATTATTTTAGATTGATGCATTTACTCGCGGCATGAACACTGTGTTAGACTGTGTTACACTGTGTCACAAAACATTTAATAATTGCGTTCGACGAAGTGGAACGCAAACCTAATTGTGACCTGTGTTCCCAAGGGTGTCCCTTTTAATTCAAGTGTCACTGTAGTGCCACAGTATGTGGTTGTGTGGAGAAATTTGCAAATTCTTCATGGGTAATTAACTTGATATCTTTTTATATAACACCAACATAAAAAGAAATAAGAAGATGTTGACTATTCCTGAAAATTGTTTGTTTAAAAATGATCCTCAGTCAAGCGAAAGTTTCCGATCATTTTCCGAAAAATTCCAAAGATTTCTCGAAGATTTAGGGGAGACATTTATAATTGTGTTCGACTATTACTGTTCAGTTTATTCATTAGTTTAAAAGAGACTGTCGGACAGATATTGGAAAATGTTTCGACTAACAATGTTTCATTACTTGGCAATCGTTATTTCATCGTATAATTGTCAGCGGTAAAAATCTGCATCACAGTTTGTATGACAAAATCAGTCGTGGCTTACAGTCTGGTGATGTGCGACTTATGACCTCGGTTCTTCATTCTGGTTTTGACTTACACTGTAGAAAAGGACATTTGTGAGAATAGTTTCTTTTGTCATTTAGTCGAATCGTAATTTTCATGTGATCTTTACGGTAGCTACAAAAAAAGTCGAGGCAACCCACTTGACGTGAAAACTTCGTTTTTGTTCTAGAAGAAACATAGTTTGAAAAGGTTCTTGCGTGTGTGTAGTTTCCAGTATTCAAGCGTGTACCGTACAAAGTCATCCGATACATAATGTGGGTTAGCGGTTATCAAGAAATAATACCTTCAATTCATCATTTACTGAGCAAAGCAAAACAAAGTTACTACATTTAAGTTCATCGGTTAAGTGCCTACCTTGCAGCTGTGGTTGTGGAAGAAATTGGTCACAATTTGAAGAACGTTTTACCTTTATATATCCAGTTTCTGGAAAACACCAGTGTCAAGTTTCCAAAATATTAAAGTTATCTTTTGATCTGTTCCGATTTAAAGGGGTACAGGTTAAGACATGTTTGAAAGTTGAGCACGTTCCCTCAAAAAATATCACAACAAAACAACAACAACAACAAATTTGTAAACTATTCTACAGTGTTGAGGAAATATATCAAACACCGGAGACAAGGTTTTATCACATTCCTGAACACCGAAAAAAAGTTGAAAATAGGACGTGCAGCACAGTGGAGTATTGTTGACGAACTTCGGACTTCGGCACGACCTTCGGCACGTTCTTCTCCTTACCACGAAGATCCAATTAATACATTGTCCTTGAAGTTGGCTGAGGTTCATGATTGTTTCTTTGTGATCTATCGAAACAGCAATTCACGCTCTTAACACGTGGATATATTTGTACGTGCGCTATAAATTACCCACCGTTAAACATCGAGGTCAACAGGTCTCACACCTGATTAGCTGCGTGTAGTGTTGTTTGTATAAGGACTGCCACATGATTCATACATGTGAAAAGGATTTTGTTAACACCTATAAATCCTCAGTTCAGCCTGACTGACATTTATTACGGTTAATTTATTTAGCCCAAAGCACAGCTATTGAATGTAATGCCTTCTAGTACAACGAATAATTGCAAAAGAGACTGCAAAATTACAAACGAGATGACTCTGAGAAGACAATTTTAATAAATGTTAAAATCTTCGATTACATATGTGCACAGTTAATCAATCAGCTTTAATGTACTGGTAATTTTGTAATATATTGAGGACCTTTGTAATCCCTAAACAATTTGAGGGCTTTTGTATGTACTCAAAACCAGTCCGTTTAGCAACAACGTTACACAATTTAGCGATTCAGCAAACGTGGACAAGTCACGTTTTCTGTTTGTTACTATTTGAGACAATTCGATTGCTTCTGGAATAAAGTACATCCGCGAGGGTTTCTACCGACTGCCTTGATAATTAGTCTAGCGTCCGTTCTCCTGGTTAAGATTCTCGTCAGATAAATCTTGTCTAAAAGTTTCAATGTTTGAATCCACTACCACTTCCGTAATTGAAGTCTGGTGTGTCCCAGGCTCCAAATCGGGCGTTTTGCAGCGAGCGGAAGCTGGTCCTTTCGGCCTATCTCTCCTCCCAATTCTCATTCCACTCACTGTCTTCCCCTTCGTCGCCATCATTCGCGCTACGAATCCAATCTTGGTCTACGTGCTTCTGCGACCGTTGCACTCACAACTGGGACACCGATAAACGACGCAGATCATGTCGCACTCCGCACGTGGCTGCATCCAGGCTGGTCTCGCCAATAAGCGTGGTGGCGGTGCGGCTGGACTCAACCGAAGCACCTCTGAAAAGGTTTCTGAAGGCGCGCTTGAATTCGTTCAACCTGAGCATGTAAATGATCGGGTTTAGAGCGCTGTTTACTCCCAACATCACAATAACAGCAGAGCGGATTGCATCGGGTACTCCACTGGGACCGAGTTTGACGGTGAGCAGGACATAGACCACCGCTGGGACATAGCAGAGCACAAACGCTCCAATCACCATTACTGTAAGAAAAAAAAAGGGAAATTAGAAAGATATCTATATTAATTACTAGAAATGGCAAGATGGTGAACGTTCACTGATCTTAGCTGGTCTAGGGGACGTCACACCCTTCGTATCATCACACTAGCAACATAACGTACAGAAATATACAGGGTTTACTGCAATTACGAACCAGTGGAAGGAAGAGCCGATAGACTGGAGCGTAACGAAAAGTGAAAGAGAAAAAATAATGTGGTTGGCCCTTATATCTACAATCATGAGCAAAAATATTGGGCAAATGTACACTTGTGGCGCTTTCTCACGTAAAAGAAACAGTCGCGGGCGAATTCAGCTACACTTGCTCACTCCCTCACCGTACTCGTAAGTTTTCCTGTCCTGTCTTTTATATTGGATGGCGGACAAGGACATGGCAAGGCATTTCGAAAAGGATTTTCCAAACTTCAGTCTGCATGTTGTAAAACACAGATAACAAATGGCAATACAACAGCGGTCAAGACTCGAGCCTTGGCCCGGGACAGTGTGCTGTTTCTTGGTCAAGACACTATTCTCTCACATTGTCTCTTCTCACCCCGATGCTTAAATCGGTTCCAGAAAATTTGATGCTAGGAGGTAACCCTGGGATGTACCAGCATCCGACTGTTCGAGCACTGTTCGAGCGTTCGAGCCAAGTGGTCTGATGGGCCACTTTGCGTGAATGCCGACTTTGCCTTAACCTAACCCTTAGGTGTAATCAAGTGTCGTGAGCTCAAAATCATCTCCCACAGTGCAGTCGGGTACAATTGCGACACGAAAAAAAAATAATAATAATAAATAAAGATCGAAAAAAAAACAAAGGTCGACAAACCTTGACAATACTGGCCCTAGTAATAATTTTTATCTACGCTTCCGCGGGAGAGTGTTAATATTATTTTTAATTTGCTATGACACACACGATGTTCGTTTCATAAAATAGGCATTTGTAGCTCACGCTTTTGACTATGCTATCGGTTTCTTTTAGTCCTAAATATAGAATTTCCTGGTTAAAATGTGCATTTAATGTATTTTCTGTCAGTCCTGTCAGTGAGCTAATCGGATAGAATCTCATTATGCTTCGGAAACTAAATTACTATAGTAAAGGGAAACAAAATTTAAACTATCAATCTCTTGCTACCTACTGTCTTCATCCATTTCATCTCTTTCCTCCTCCTTCTTCTCATGTCAGCTATCTCAGGATTCAGGTTTTCGCCAGGCTCAACTCGGTTGCTCTGAAACCAAGAGATCTTAGCGATGTGGCCGTAGACGAATATCAGCACCGCAAAAGGAATCGCATCAAACAGAGTGATGTTGAAGACAAGATGGACTTTGTGCAACAAGCCAGGTTCACTAGTGGACTCTCAGCAACCTAAGATGCTTGTTCTAAACTGAGTGATGTCACTGTCAACATAAAACAGGGGCAATACCACCATGGAAACCACAGGAGCACCCCAGGCTACTAACAAGGCTAGTATTACGCGTGTTCTGGTGCAATTTCGGTGTACGTCAGAGGGTAAAGGATAGCTATGTAGCGATCGCAACTGAGTAGACAAATGTGAGCAATATCGACGTGCACGAGTGTCGCTTGTATGATTACGAAATGCTCGCACAATCTGGACACAGCCTCAAAGTCGTAGAGCCAGATCAAGCGAAAGAGAAGACACGATAGCCAGGAGAAGTCACACATTGCTAAGCTGGCCAGAATATAACTGTCTGGTTTTTGACGGAGGCTTCTCACGCGCCAAATGGCCAAGCAAACACAGATGTTACCAAACAAGTATGCTATGACAGTGGGGCCTAGAACTGCAGTTTGCAAGGCTGTGGATACAATACTCGGAGACAGCGCAGTGAAGCTCCCGCCAGAATGTCGAGACCCGTCAAACGAATCGCACATGCTGGTTTGTTGGCTCGATGCCTCACAAGTTTGCGTCGCTTGATTACTGGCGTTGCATGTTTATGAGCGGCGATTAAATTTTCACCTCACTTCTTTATAAATAGTTCTTTTCTTAAATGGCTTAGATAAACTTCCTCGTTATTGTTCGAGCGGCTTGCAAATTTTTAAGTAATAACAAGGCCGGAAAATAATATTCAAATCTAGAAACGAAAACCCAGAATTCTCCTAGCACGAATCGACCGTTTACGAAACAATCCTCTTGTTTAAACGGAGGAATGGAAAGAGCTTCCGATGAAATCTCACGAGAAGAGTTTATCACATACTAACAAGGTTATTTAACAATATAAGTGGACAAAATACCCGAAAATTAAGAGAGATTCTTCAGGTCGGTCGCAGTACAATGTTTGTTTTCGTAATAGTTATAAAGGCGACTTTTAAAGTGTGTTTAAATTTTGAAAATTGAACGCAAAACTGCAATAAACATTTCCCGAAGTAACACAGGGGAGTATATGGAAAGCCAAATAAATGATGAAATCCGTTAAGAGTTCAGTTTTCATGATTAAAATACCGAAATTGCCGCCCAATTTTAACAGGAAATAACATACTTTGTTCATCATCTCAGCCATGCAAAACAGTTTAATCTTTATAATCTGCCTTGAACTTTTTTCTTTTCTTTAAAACAGGTGACTATAGACAAATGCTATTAACATCACTTATTTTGTTAATCGACATTTAAATCCAGTGATA